GATATTTCTTCACGTATTACTAAGTGTAATACAACACTACATAAGTTATTATACATTATATTATACATAATAACTTTCCTGACATTTTCTGTAATAAAAAACCAGTAAATATGCTTAAATGTATTCAAACGTAGCATTTAATTTATCCAGCGTCCGCTTGAAAATCTAATTTCGTAAGGAACCGTTGTTTTTTATTAACAACGAATAATATCACGCATAATTTCCCTCCAAAATTGAAAAATGGCGCCCACTGTAATTACGTGTTCAAAGGCTTTGAACATTGAAGGCATTACAATGAAATATACAAGTTTATATGATAAGTACGCGTGATGTATTTACATATGAGACTTATAGCAATAAATCGAAATATCCTAAATTCTAGGTATAAAAGTATTATAGGCACAAGAAATTTCATAATTACCGTGCATTCACTATTATGTATTGCGATATATATCAATTAGTGCAATACTATATTTTGATTTTATTTAATCATTCCTATATTGTTGTGACTGAGGTTTTACAAGCAATTCAACAACTCTAAATAAATAAATAATTTGATTTTTTTTAAGGTATTTATCATTACATAGTATAAAATAAAGTTGCTGTCGCTGTCTGTCGGTCTTTATATATGCTTAAATCTTTAAAACTACGCAGCGGATTTTGACGCGGCTTATTTTAATAGATAGAGTGATTCAAGGAAGGTTTATATATATAATACAAGTACACCCGTGCGAAGCCGGGCGAGTAGCTAGGTAAATATAAATAAAGAAAATGGGGGTTGAAAGGGGAAATGAAAGATTGTATGGAAAAATCGCCATTTTTAAAGCCAAAAGCCTGAAACTTATTTTTTTAAGCTGTTAATTGAGTCAGTGTTCGCAATTTTTGAACCTGGAACGATGGAATTTTTATTTTATTTGGTTTTTATTGGGTTTAGATCATTAAATATTTATCATTATTTGGTCAAGATCACTATTTTAGGCGGTCTAAGTCGTTAATACAGATAGTCATCTATAAAAACAGAATTACGTTTAAAAATCTTTGAAGCGTCGTCTTATTCGTGTGACCAACATCCATTTGCAATTCCATTTCCCATAAGTACATAAAATATGAATGATTATTTTCCTTTCCCAAGGCGTTTACATCTGTCGTATTAGAAAGGTTCACAGCGCGTATAAGCGAAAAACCGAAAGTTACGTCAAGGAATAACATACAAGGAAAAATATTCGATTATCGAGTGTTGGTAAAGTTTTGGTAGAATTCCAATAAGTTTGGTGTTAGGAATGATATAAGAAATGAGAGAGAGAATGGTTTTAATTTATTAGGCGACTGATTTCATACTCAAATTATGTCTGCCTGTACTTAAAAAAATAAATCCAGTTTGGATATAACGGCTATTTCCTAGTCATCATTCTTGAAAATTCAAAAGGAATTCAGTTCAGTCAACATTACAAGTTCATTTTTTAATTTTTGACATAGTGGCTTGAATCTGACTATATTCTACCTTACCGCTACAATACTATAGTTTGTTTTGTTGTAAATAAATAAATTATAAATCTATACTCTATGATATATTAGAGCTATTTGTTTGCTTGTCTGTCACATCATACAGGGACAATGAAATAGTGAGGTAGCTACATTGTCAATAGAACTAAATTCCAATAGTGAAAAGGAACTGAAAACGACATCAATATAAGTAATTCGATATTATACTAATATAGTTAATCAGTAAACATTTAATTCCAATATAAACATTCGTAAAACGTTAATAAAATGACTAGCGATTGTACTTTAACTATTCAGTAGATTTCATAGTAGATAAATAGAAAAAAAGTGTAATCTGTGCAATAGTGTTTTTATTGACTGTATGTTTATGTAATATTTAAGTAAATAGTATATTTATTAATCAATAGTATATGTTATTATTAAAAAGATTTCTACATTTTTATAATTAAGCACGGGAATTAATGAACTTGCTATATTTTCATGTTTTGCTATAATTATTTCCACATAAGTAGAATGCATATGCCGTACCATTTCAGTTATATTGCGAGGCATGTTCATTAAATTCCCCAGCGTAGTTATAAAAGTATCAGTTATATATACTCTGTGCTAGCCATCCAATATACCAGGGGTGGCCAACAGGTCGATTGTGACTGTTAGTCCAGTAGATCGTGGCAAGGCAAAAAATATAAATAGTCAAGTCTGGACTGCGGAACGTAATCGTAAAAAAGGTTGGCAATTTCTAACTATAAACCTGATTATGCTAAACTAGTGGAAGATGCTCAGACGCAATACTCACACTAGTATAAATGTAAGTACCTAGTTACTAAGAATAATTTACACATTTATGTTATCTCTCTTAATAAAATAAAAAAATACTACTTGATTGTGTGAACTATGCTGTTTCATTTAAGATTTCAATAAGTAAGTAATTGGTAGATCGCACACGGTTTCAATAGTAAACAGGACATCTTGGGTCTAATGGAGTTGGCCACCCCTGCAATATATGAACTGTTACATCCACATTACAGTCTGCCAATCAATTCCAGAAACTGTTTCTATTGACAGTACTATCCAAACAGCTCGTGTTCTGAAGAAATCAAATATAATAATATGTAAAGGCGACTTAATTATAGTACGTTCACAAGCTAGCCCATTCTAAACATTTATGTGACATTTACACCACAGAGACACATGTTAGGAAAATATTGACACCCTTATGTAACTTATCACCACTTATATAGACCGAAAACTAGAATTTCACTAGAGAGACAAAATATTGAATATTTTTCTAATTTACTCTACATATATTATCGACAAAATTGTGCTCATACAATATACAATATCTGTGAAAAAGTTCTCTAATAAGGCAATGTTATAGACAGCACTTAGTTAAGTGAGGAGACGAGAGATCGAATCTTGACAAAAGTGATAAACTCACTGATTTATCTCACGGCAGATTGATATTTATGAGCCCTTTATGGTTGGGAGATGCTTTGTTGAAAGTTATTGCGGTTTGTCAGACCATTCTGAAGGTCTTTGTAATGTTATTATTTATTCCATCGCAGTGCGTACAATGTTTTATTAATACATTGCTACAACATTTTCTTACAGTATTATTTATGATTACAGTTTAATGTGAAATAAAATTTTAAATATACCTCCTTTATCAGAATCTATAAATATTAGACGGTTTAAATAGGTATCTACTATATATATACCAAGAATGAAATATGTTTATTTAAAAAGAAGACCTTTTTATTTTAGTAATAAGGTTCACTATCAATTCGAGGAAGAAATAATTCAGATACATATTTCACATCATCAAATTAATAGTTAATTCCGGATTTACTAAACAGTCACGACGCGGCAATTCTGTTTGATGATATGCATTTGCATTTTGCTTATGTACATCATCATCAATAAATTAGTATGCGTAATCAGAGGAGAGTGCACTATTGTTTGAAGTCGTAACTTTTAATGGCTTCCACTAGTATTGATTAACTGTCTGGTGATAGGTATCATTGAAATACAAAACAATGTTTATACTACATCAACTATTTTATACGCTAATGATTTAGACCTCAATGTACTATAACCAAAACCACATTAGCAATTTGGAGGATATTAAATTCAACAAAATTTTGTACTTTTCCACAATTTTTGTGTCATTGTCAAGTCCAATTATAATAAATAACAACAATCAACGCTTAACGTTATGGATGGGTTTTATCACTTTTGTCTTTACAAAAAGATTAAAGGTTAAAAGTACTAGGAGAGAAGAAATCGAAAGGGTTGAAACTATAAATACCTGCACTTGAGCATTGTGAAGCTAAGCTCTCGTTATCGTGTAAGCTTACATTAATATCAATATTAAGTATACATATAATTTGACAACTTCGACTGATAATAATGTGAATAATGTCACAGCCAATAATAAATCAATTGGTAATAATGAAATGTATATACTTAAATTAATTAAATATAATTCAAAATCCAACTTATAAATAATTTTGAATGACAATGATGGCAATAAAATAATCTATAATGTATTTTTAAGGGTTGTGTTTAAAATTGCTAATTTTATCAATTTATATGAAAATTTGGATCGATGTAAATAGTTATTGCCATTTTTACTTTGGCACGTTTCTGGTTACAGATAACATTTAAATGAACATCAGGTTGTACACAAATAAATTTTATAAAAGAACTACATTCTATATATACTAGAAAATGTTATCAAAATAAAATGTAAACATGATCTTAGGTACATATTATAAAAACTTACAACGTATCAATGAAGTTGGGACAAACAAATGATAATATCTTATAAAACGCTAGGACAAGAACAGTATAATATTAACAATCAGTCTCAAGCCAATACACACGGAATTTCGATCGTAATTAATTAAATATACACAACACTGCCCCATTTACAATCGTAACTGTCGAACTCAACAACCAGATTACTTATTTTAATAAATTACTTTCGTGACTACAAACAAATTTCTATCTATTAGGCAAAAGCGACAGAGTTGCAATTACAAATGGGACATAGCACTTACTGCTAAAAACTACGAAAGATTTGGTCCGTCTGTTAAAATATAAGATACAGAGTACAAAAGCATTTAAAAACTAAAGAATCCATTGAAACACCGCCGACGAAGCTTCAAAGCTCACTTCCATAAATAATGAAGTAGCAAAACGATTACACTAATAAAAAGTTCCCAATAAAGTAACACGACGTAGAAACATGTTCATAACAGCAATAGACAGTTTTGTTCACTTCAAAATAATAAACCACCATATTCGTCGCACGTGGATTAGGCTGTTTAATTTCGACAATTCACTGACTCCAAGAAGAACATCATGGATCAAAATAATAATACAATAACAGACTGCGTTAAAGTAAGGCATATAGTACCTGGCGAGGATAAAATTCATAGTCATAGTCTTAAAAAAGTAATTTGCAATCAATAAAGTGTCGAAATTTAAACTGCTCACATCCTTGACATAATCATGTACCGTCCATCAGACAGCAATTCCCTGGTATCAGATGGTGATCCTGGACTTAAACTCGGCGCCACAGATGGAGTAGAATAGGTGTCCTTGTTGAAGCGACCAAGCCTTCTATCGTTCTCTGAAGCGACTGAAATTTCTTCTTCCACAATTTGCTCTAAAGGCGATTCTCTCATAGCGTCACCGTTTAAAGCAAGTGCATTGACAAATCCATGAGCTCGTTCCGGAGATGGTTCCGTGTAGGTTTCAGTTATGGTCTCTGGCAAGACTTCTGCGGCTCTCGCACGCCTCGTATTCTTCGTGTGCATTCCACCAGTCTCGGCATCTCTTTCCAATCTATGACCTGAGCGGGATCTAGTCAGTTGTCTTTGGACGTAGTCCTCTAACGCTTCCTCCTCAGTCTTCGTAAGGTATTTATGAAGCCCAATCAAGAAGATGCCGATTACCAGTGCGAATAATCCGGAACAGACCAGCTCGTTGAACCAGTTGATGGAAGCGATGCTGCTCCAAGAAGTGATGTCGTCAGCGAACCAGCCGGAGACAACGAGGAACAAACCGAGAACGAGGAATACGATTCCAAGATGGAGCATCCCAACCGACGAGACGACCTCATTTTCGGACGCTCTGGTTTTCTTGAAGCGCCGTCTTTCCAAGCTGCCGGTGGAGCAATGGGGGGAGGTGACCCCGGATTCGGAGGACTGTAGAGAGTAGCGTCGTTCTCTGGCGCGTTGCTGCTCGGCCCGGCGTTTGCGCTCGCGGCGGATGGCGAGCGCGGAGTGAAGGCCCACCGCATGCATCCTGCAAGCACGGGCACGGGTGAGTGCTGGGTCGGGACGCGTCAGAACCGCGGGGTGCGTTTACGACGCGCCCCGGCGTTGCGCGGCCGCAGGCGCGGGTTGCCGCACGCCTAGCGGAGTGACCGTCGACCCGTGCCCGTGCCGTGCATTACAATACGAACTACAAACAAGAGTATGGCATCCTCTGACAATCATGCGGTGACAAAGTATTTAGAATTATCCGTATATTAATTTCAGATTGCAACATTTGCTCATTTGCAGAAAGTATTAATGTGAAAGTGGTTGCTGACAATTCTTAAACTATACAGTTTAGCGATGATGTACAGACAGTAGGTTTCTACAAAATCGCAAACCCATTGATTTAAATCTGTTACATTTGAGAATTGCGTTATATCATAAAGCGAGTAATTCCTCTCATGCATTATGTAGTGAGTACTGTATCTACGTTGTATAATAATTGTCAGATAACTCCAAAAACTTTTTAATTACGTTACGAGAGATTTATGCAACTGTTGCATTAAAATATAAAGTTTTCTCGCATTAAACTATGTCAGAATGCACCATTATTTACTCTTATTTTTTCATTTATTCATATAAAAATATATTATAAATTATACAGAAAGGTAGATCAAGAGACTTGTTTGCGTAACTTGGTATTTCAATGTTGAAGTAGGTAGATATTTTTTTCCATTTATATTTTTAACAACTAAAAATAATTTTTAAAAACTAAATGGGAACTATAAATTGTGTGGAAATATAATTGTTGTATATTATACGCCACAATTTGGACTATAAATTGTGGCGTATAATATAGTAAAGTCTTTGTTTCATTTCAGACCAAAAATGGAAAATAATGTTTAAAATTACTATCTTAAGATAGGTTCCTATAATTTGGCTATTTTATGTAATAGTCATTCGTTTAACTAGGTATGTCGTCAAACAAATTTTCTATATTATCTTAGTCAATACATATTTAACCCTAATTGATTAAAATTTGAAATTAACAACATCTTAGATCTCTGGAATTGTAACGCATGAGTGGTATCAAGGGAATCACATAATATCTGCAGTGCTGTATACAGGCGTTTACCGTTTACCATCGGAAGGGGATTGTTAGTAATGGAAATAAGACCATTCCTAGCAAATTTGCCACGATGATAAGATGAGCATGAGGTCAGGTCAATTAAAACTGACCTGACCTCATTCTTATTTTATCATCCTTCACTGGTGCCCCGCCAGCGTATATCGTTTCACCGCGGTGCATTATTTCGTTAGCGTACATTATATATCATTTACCATAAGGGTGGACGGTCCACCCTTATGGTAAATGATTATCAATCACCCCAATTATATACGTATTACTATATACCTTCATCACTATATGTTTGTTATTTTTTTAATTTTCTTCTGTTTGCATATTAGCTACTTGTTCGATATTTAAATCCGTTGCGTTGAGAAGATTGCTTTCAGCAATAAGGCCGCCTTATTGTAACTATATATGTGTTTTTTAATATATTGTTTATGTTTTTTTACTGTATGTTACAAATAAAGTATACTATTATATATTATTACACAGTATAGAATAAAGTCGCTGTCGATGTTTGTACCTATGTATGCTTAAATCTTTGAAACTACGCAACGGATTTTGAAGCGGTTTTTTTAATAGAAAGAATGATTCAAGAGGAAGGTTTATATGTGTAATACATGTACACCCGTGCGAAGTCGGGGCGAGTAGCTAGTTACATAGTATAAAACAAAGTCCCTGTCGCTGTCTGTACCTATGTATGCTAAAATCTTTAAAACTACCCAACGGATTTTACGTGCTTTTTTTTAATAGATAGAGTGATTCAAGAGGAAGGTTTATATATATAATACATGCTAGGATATCTTATATACAAAGAAATGTGTAAATCAACATGTAAGGTTATGAGTTATTCACGTAGTTGGAGTATTCCTAAGGGTCATGGAAACTTGCACCTTCATTAGAGACCGCTCGAGTATACCGACTGAAAGTAATTTACCTTTTCGTCACGTAAAAAGCGGAAAAGGCGACTGAATTAATGACAACTGCCAACACTTATATAACTTAACGAGCTGTACCCGCGACTATGTCCGCGTGGAATTTAACTTTATTTGTATAAAATAAAAGTAGCCTAAGTTCCTACTTAAAAGTCCCGTCAAAATCGGTCCAGCCATTTCAGAGATTAGCCGGAAAATATTATTTTGGTGTATGTACCGTATTTATATTCATATGCATGAAGTAAAAAAAGATTATATCAATATTACGAACAGACACTCCTATTTTATTTGCGACACTGAAGTGGCAATGGGCAGGGCACATAGCTCGTAGGACAGATGGCCGTTGGGGCAGTAAAGTCCTCGAGTGGCGACCACGGACCGGAAGACGCAACATGGAACGTTGCGCCTCCAGCAAGGTGGACCGACGATCTGGTCAAGATCGCTGGAAGGCATTGGATGCGAGCAGCGCAGGACCGCTCGTCGTGGAGATCTTTGGGGGAGGCCTATGTTCAGCAGTGGACGTCTTCCGGGCTGCGATGATGATGATTAAAAGTAAAAGATTAATAATACAAAAATCTATTAAAATTCTTATGATGGTTATACGAGGTTAGAGAGTCAAACTATTATATGAGATTTTATACTTTTTATGTACGAGTCAAATGTACCTAATGTACGAGGTTTGGTATTTTTCCAGGGATGTTATGGATATGAAATTTCAGATACGGATAGGTTCCTGATATAGGAATGATTATTATACCGGATACGGATACGAAAGCGGATATGATATTATTTCGGATAATTTAGGTTACGGATATTTTTTTAAGGAATTTCTAATGTAATATACAACTTTATAAAATGTTTACATAACGTGTCTCAATTAGGCTCCACCCCTATCCGATATTGTCCGAAACTTTTATTTCGTATTCGGTTACAGTTACGGATTTCCTTAACATCCTTGATTTTTTCGTACGAGTTAAAATGGTCTAACGTTGGGAACCCTGGCAGGCTATAGAAATGGAGTGGAGAGTTACAAAAGCACTCACTAAAGCCCTCGATAACCCTTCACATTATCAGGCCACTCGTTATTAAGAAGCAGAAATTAACAAAGGGTGAATTTTTCCTTTCAAACTGGTGGAACTTCTGGTAGTTGATCATATTAATCATATTGTATGCGAATTACTTTCATTTTATTATATAACATACCTGTTATGCTACATAATATTTATTTAGTAACTAAATAACTAAATAAATAAGTAACTAAATAAATATTAAAATATATTTTTATATGTACAAAAATGCCGAAGCTCCATCGTCCAGTTAAGCATTTTGTTTATTTTATGCATTACTCAAATTGAAATAAAAATATCTTAATTCATGCAGGTCTATTACAGACTCTTATGACTGTGAAATCTACCGTCAGTTCGAAATGATTTCGAGGTGCGAAGAACTGACAAGAATATCAGCTCGTATTCTTTTCAAATAAATGTTGTACATGTTTATAATAAAACAGATTCATTTATAAATTCTAATTTGGGAGAATAGAGTGACCACCAGCATAGCATATGCTGGTTACATTATAACACTGATTATACTTTTTGCTTTTGCAATAGCATTATTGCAAAAGCTAACAGTATAATCAGTGTTCGTAACCTGAACAGACCAGTCCCCACAAACAGCACCCGTTCACGAGTATGACGGAAGAATACCTGTCATTTCGACCGCAAATATCTAAATTCTCAGTTGTCTAGTACTCATAATACAGCTCTGCTTAACTTGGGACTAAATAATAAATTGAAACCAAGCACTTTGTGAATTATTCAAGATTAGTATTATTATTAACCACTAGCTGTACACGCGACTTCGTCCGCGTGGAATTGAACTTTCATTTTCTCAAATAAAAGTAGCCGAAGTTACGCCTTATTACATCAGCTACCTGCCATTAAAAGTCCCATCAAAATCGGTCCAGCCGTTTCTGAGATTAGACGGAACAAATAGACAGACAGACAAAAATAAAAAAAATGATATTTTGGTGTATGTACCGTATTTATATTCATATGCATGTAGTAAAAAACGGTTATTTCAATATTACAAATAGACGCTCCAATTTTATTCATATGTATAAACTAGCTTTTGCCCGCAGCTTCGCTCGCGTTAATTTATCCCCTTAGGGGTGGAATTTATCAAAATCCTTTCTTAGCGGATGACTATGTCATAACATCTACCTGCATGCCAAATTTCAGCCCGATCCGTCCAGTGGTTTGGGCTGTGCGTTGATAGATCACTATGTCAGTCACGTTTGAGTTATATATATATAAGATAAGTGACATGGCAGAGTCCAAGACATGAGAGTACTATTGGTTGTGTAATGTATATCTTGGTTGAAGACAGGTGTTGGTACCAGGTGTCTGCCGTCAACAGGTTGTCGGGTGTTCAGTTTTTGGCACTCCGCCAGCAGTGTAACTCCGATACCAAATCGTGGTCATAGATACAGATTATTTATTGATAACTTCTCGCTTTTAGACTACTGCCTGTATCAAACAGACTGACATATTTTGAAAATATTTATAGTACTATTGCTGTAGTTTTATTTTATACTAACTGTACTCGCGACTTCGTCCGCGTGGAATTTAACTTTATTTTTCTAAAATAAAAGTAGCCTAAGTTACTTCTTATTACATCAGCTACCTGCTAAAAAAGTCTCGTCAAAAGTGGTCCAGCCATTTCAGAGATTAGCCGAAACCAACAGACAGACAAACAAAAATTGTAAAACAGCTAGTATGAAATAAAACTACAACAACTATTAATTAAATAAAAAATAAATAACCCTGGACAATTAACACAACGCCATCTAGTCCCACGGTAAGCAGAGCTTATATTATGAGTACTAGACAACTGATATAAATATTTAGATTTATTTTTTGTAAATACATATATGTAGAAAACACTCAGACCGATACAAACAATCATACTCATGAATACAA